ACACACATGACATAAATTGATATGGCCTTCGAACCAGTGATCATTGGAAGCGAGCAATCCTAAGGGAGATAACTCTTGAAATCTGGCTGCCTTTGACGACTGTGTTTTTCGTGTACCGTTATAAGAATGACACAAAGTCTTAGTGTCTCGCAGAAAACGTTCGTTGATTAAGTTTTGAATATGTAGTTATACTAAATTCCCAAGTCTTTAAGCTTTAAGAATGTTGTCCAGTATATTATTGCTAACTTTATATATACGTTGTTTATACACTCACGCACGCACGCACATATCACATCACCAGTTACGATAACATGTATATTTTACACCTATTAATATTAAGAGAAAAGGTGTAAATCAGTCAATCGATATTCTATGTCGGCGTTTGTCAATAATCGATTTTAGACCAGACAATCCAGTGATTGAAATCATGTACATCGATCTCCGATACTAGGACACAATGGCAATCAACAACCAAGTTAGTGAGCCTAATTAGATCCCGTTAGTCACCTCATACGTCACGCACCGGTTGCTGGAGACTAGCTGTGCTGTACATGCCGATACATCTATATTTAGACAATACCACTGCTGGCAATGTCCCGTTGTTTAATTTCCCATCTCGTTAAAGAATAAAAAGGAAATAAATGGCTTACTAAGACGTATTACTGATCAGTAATGATAAAATGAAACAAAAAGTCTGTACCTCTCAACACAATACAGACGATATTGACATATTTCAATTTCGAAGGGGCTTTAGGGTAGCCTAGTGGTTGAGGCGCTCGCTTGTCACGCCGAAGACCCGGTTTCGATTCCCCACATGGGCGCAATGCGTGAAGCCCATTTCTGGTGTCCCCCGCCGGGCTATTGCTGGAATATTGCTTAAAGCGGCGTAAAACTAAATTCACTCAGCCACTCAATATCGAATGCCGCTTCAAATCGTTGAATGATAGGTATAGAAGAAATACCTTTGAGATGACCCCTTGATAAACAGACGCTTCTTGGCCTTTCCTGTTTGATAACATGTCAAGTACATTGGCATCCAGAGGTTTGTTTACATTGTGTTTCAGTTATATCACGACAATTTAGCTTCATTTGGAAGGTTAGTGAGTGAATTTAGTTTAACGTCGTTTTAGCAATATTTCAGCAACGTCACGGCAGGGGACACCAGAAAAGGGCTTCACACATTGTACCCATGTGGGGATTCGAACCCGGGTCTTCGGCGTGACGAGCCAACGCTTTAACCACTACCCCACCGCCCCTCATAGCGTTGAGAGGCACAGAGTTTTTGTGAAGATCCGGGTTAGAATTCGTCTTCAGCAACATATGCTTCTCATAAGAAGCCCGCTGTGATATTGCTGCAATATTGCTAAAAACGGCGTAAAACCATACTCAGCCAGCCAGCTCATAAGAAGCTACTAACGGGGTTGGGTGGTCAGGCTCGCTGATTTAGTTGACACATGCCGTCGTATCCCAATCGATAGATCGATGCTCATGATGTTGATCACTGGATTGTCTGATCCAGACTCGACTATTTACAGACCCCTGTCTTATAGCTTAAATATTGTTGCTTGCAGCGTTAAACAACAAACAAACAAAACAACAAACACATTCTCCTGGTATCCGATATGGGGTCGTCGCTTTTAGCACACCAGCTACTGTGCGGCTTGAGGTTGAAATGTGATCTGTTCCACTCAGCAAGGTCAAGTCGCTCGTATGTGTGAAACTGTCCACAAAGTGTTGTTACAACTCACACAAATCATGAACAGGGCACTTATGTGTTGTTTGACCATACCTTCAACCCCACAATGCAACATGTCACACGAACAACACATAAATCAAACACCACGATGTCGGAGATGTTGGGAGCGGTAATGGAGTTTGTAATGTCACGGCCACTGCACTAATGAAAACCACACACGCATGTGGCCAAATAAATATTGACACAGTCTAACAGTACAAACATATAGAATATGACATAACATAAACAGTTAGGCGAAGAGTTTGCTGACAAAGGTGTGTGTAAATAGACAAAGGACCCAATGGGTGGAAAATTAGGTACGCATTTCGTAATGGCCTCCTTAATAATGTTTAACACCCGAGAAGATCCGGGTTAGAAATGCCATGCTTGTCGTATGAGGCGACTAACGGGATCGAGTGATAAGGCTTTGTTGATATCCACTTCGCTTTTGTATGCCCACATTATGCTGATTTAAGAAAAACATATATCCCAAATAATTACCTATTAAAATATCCTTCATCTGCCTTTGCTTCCATTCTATCCTCCAAAAATGAAAATGTAATACGTAATCTTGCGCTTTATGTAAAACATGCTGTTTTCCTTAGAAGCAATATCTTATCTGAACTGTAATTTCTTTGTGAAATGTCTGTAACATGTGCTGTATATATACTTGTATTACTTGTATATGGGCCGGAGGCCTTAAGTACAATAAATATCTTTGACTTTGACTTGACACATATCCCAATTGCGTAGAGCGATGCTCATGCTGTTGATCACCGGATTGAATATTTCTAAGTGCGGCGTTAAACAACAGACAAAACAAAGCCATAAATTCTAGTCGAGGAAAATTATACATTCGGTTTGTAATGGTGTTAGTGTTAAAGTGTGGTATTATGTACATTTAGCTGGAACCATTGTCACTGGTCAGAATGTGGCGTATGTGGCATATCACGTCAATATTTGTTAATCATTTACGTTTTCTTAAATTCTAATTAAATTATTTTCTCTGAATTTATATTTTCTGAATTAGTAATTCATACTTCAGTTTGTTGTGTCCTCTACAGATAAGACCGCGAGAGTTACCAGAACAAACACCAAAAATATTATTCCGTAGTGACGAAGTTGTATATGAGGAAACAGGTGACAGGGCATGTGTTGATGCAGTTTGATGAGTATATGTCAGCGGGTTCAGCTATTCCCGAAACATAAATATATATTCTTGCCTTAAAGGAAACCTTTATAAAGTAAACGCCCAAAAAATAACAACGTTACCCTCCTTCCTTAATGACGGAGATACCTATCTTCAGCTATCGTTGTGATGCGTGGACGTCCACTTCTTGGTCTGTCTACGGTGACCCCAGTCTGTCTGAAGCCCTGAATAAATTTTATAACCGTGATAGGGTGGCATCCGAGGGCGTTCGCAACAGCATTGTATGTCGACCCCATCTGCACCATCCCAATGGCTCTTTCTCTCTCTTCAGCTGTTAATCGTGGCATATTTCTCGTACTTGTGTATCATATCATGCATTCTAGGCTCTCTTTATACCCTATAGAATCATTCTACGTGCGAAATGGATGCAACTACAGCTTGAATATTGCTGCGTTTTGGCGATTGATATTGCTATGTGTAAACAGAAAATGAAAAAATGTTACTTTGCAAGCATATTAGATGTTCCTAAACACTTTTTCATATTGTCAAAAACACGTTTTACTTGTTTTCACTAATGCCAATCAGCAGAAAATCTTTTAAAAGACTGAAATCATAGGAATGATTATTTTACAATTTAACACACTCTACAACAGTTGTTTCTTGTTTTAATAGTTAAAAAATGGTGACTTTCAATGGTGTATCATTGTCCCAAAACAGAATTTTATTTCAACCTTTCTTATGGACATTAAAATCATCGTTATTGGTTTATTTCGGCATGGACGAATATAGGACAATTTAACTCTTCTGGAAAAGATGCATTTCAACTAAATATGAATGCATTTGAGAATTGTGTTTCGTGATTTGCATAAAGCTGTGTTGTTAAGCTTTCTTGTAAACTAAAACCTTCCAACATATCTTGGATAGTTTATCAGTACTTCATAAAGGTAGGAAAGTAACGTTTTTTTGGCATCTGTGTATGTTGCTGGAATTAAATTCCTTGCGTGAAGCTATTTCTGGTGTCTCCCGCCCTGATATTGCTGGAATACTGCCAACGGTGTACGAGTATACTCACTTAAAGCATCCTAGGTAGGGCCTTGATGTACAGTACACGTGCTTCTATTGTATACTTTCCAGGGAGCTGAGAATGGAAATCGAAAGCACCCTGGTCGATTCACCGGAGACATAATGTGACGCTTTGAGCATGCTTGGGTTTATGTTTGGCGCGTTATTAATATGGTACATGATTTCGTCTGATATTGACTCTCTGACATCACCACCGAAAATAGGAGACTGTCTTTGCTGCTTCACTGTAGCCAAGCCTCCAAGGAAACACATTCCTCAAGGACGGGGGATTTGATCGGTATACTGTAGCACGCGATGTAAAAAACCCAGACCCGTGAAGATCTGGGTTAGAATTGGTCTTCAGCATCCCATGCTTGTCGTAAGAGGCGACTAACGGGAACGGGTGGTCAGGCTCACTGACATATGTCATCGTATCCCAATTGCGTAGATCGATACTTATGTTGTTGATCCCTGGATTGTCTGTTCCTGGCTCGATTATTTACAGACCGCCGCCACGTAGCTGGAATATTGCTGAGTGCGGCGTAAAACAACAAACCAACCATCCAACCATTAAAAAAACACGCAGTGAAATAATACACTCTTATACCACCTCAACTATGCTCTGAATATATGAGGGTCATAAATAGAGTGTTATTGTACCGGGAAACACAAGCTTGTGTCAACATTATTGATTTGTATGCCAACACGACCTGGTATGTGGGCCGATTGACTTTGTGATCACGTTTACACCGATCCCGAATGATTAAGTACCTCATTGCTGTTAAAAGAAACCTTGCAATACACGACATTAAAGTTTAATGGCTGTTCTATGTGGTTTATCAGTCAGCCATACATTACTCCGCAGTTGGTTCGATAATCTCGACGAAAGAAGATATGCGAGTCTTACTGACTAATTGTAATCAATACCGTTAAAAAACTGTACAGCGATCGAAGCCTGACAAATACGCTTATTCTTCTCGCTTAGCAGTCACGCAAGTCAGTCCAGGTCGTACGTAATGCATGATCCGGGCGTCATATAACAATGGTCTTTGGGGGAACATGTATAAAGTAAACCTACTCTAGTTTACAGTATATCTTATATTGACATCTGGGGGAAAGGGTGCATTGGCTGAGCCAGGTGGTCTGGGGTTGTGTTGTGGGCAGTCAGGCAGCAAGACCAACTGTACTTGTCCGCTTTGTGGTCATTAGAGGATCGACTTTACTCGCTGCCACCAGATTTGACTGTAGCCTGTACCGTCATTATTAGTGGAACCAGCAGCAGCTATGACGTGATCTGTGAGGTAAGTCAGTATGATTGACTGACACTGACAGGTGTCTGTGGCAGGTCAGATTTATTGCATCTGTTTATTGCATCTGTTTATTTTCATCGTGTGGTGATTTAGATATTAGTGGTATATGTATTTTCCGATTATCTCACTGATTGAACTGAGCTGGTCTAAAACATAATCCAAATTTACGTTTTCATTGAACGTTTCGCAAGAATGCTCGTCGTATAAGACACGACTATTTTTTGTCATAAGAGGCGACTAACGGTATCGGGTAGTCAGACTCGCTGACTTGGCTGATGCATGTCAGCGTATCCCAGCTGCGTAGATCGATACTCATAATGTTAATCACTGGATTGTATGGTCCAAACTCAACCGCTGTCATATAACTTGAAAACTGCCAAGGGAGACGTCAAACAAACAAACAAACAAATCACTGAATATACATACTGTAGCTCTCGTAACATGTTATATTTGCACTTTCTTCGTAAAATGGCATTGTGTATTTCACTGTAGTTCTCTATTAAAAACCACGGTGTGCTAAGTCATGGCACAAAAACTGTAATTTCGTTGAAATATTCTAAAGGTAAATTCTATGTTATTGTATATTGATATTCAGTTCTTGCGACAGCTTCTTTTGTGAGAACTGTTTAAATGACATTTTTGCTTGGTATACAGTAAAGTCTAGGTTTTTTGGGATGATAACTCATGCATTTCGTTGTGATGAGACGTTTTGGCAAACATTCCTATAACGTTATAAGCGCCGAACTCAAAGTCGTATATAATGGAATGAAGAAGTTGTATCTGTGTTATTCGACTTCAGTACCTTGTAAACTGCTCAATGTTTGAGCAAGCCGTAGTATAAACACAGTAGAAGCAGCGTGTCTGTCTGGACATGTACGCAATAGGAATCTTCACACACTGTACCCATTTGGGGAATCGAACCCAGTTCTTCGGCTTGACGCTTTAACCACTAAATTACACCCCCACATACCCCCAAAGACAACAACAACACCAACAAATAAAACAAAAACAAACAACAACACCCCCAAAAAAAAAAAAACAACCCCAAAAAAAACAACAACAACAAAAGACAACAACATCAACAAAAGTCTAATTAAGAGCATACAAAATGTATGGCATGTGCACGTATTCGTGTCACCATTCAAACATTATTAGTGTATACCACAAGGCTGTCCCCATAATCTTGTTAATTCCCAAAACCGTTAATCCGCCCCCTTTACTTCCATTAACATGTGGCCTTGAGTCAGTCAATGGACTACGGATAAAGGAGTCAAGCCGATATCTGAAACGGATTTTCTTAAACGGGACTGAATGTGTTAAATTACACAGCGTAGGAATTACCAGTAATTAATATGAGCTAAGGATTAGGGAAGCGAGTCGGGTCATGTTAGGAACCAAGGTCTTTCCTTTCACTCTCACTAAATCGTTTTAATATAGGGAACCGTTAGTGGATTGTCGGTGAAATCAGCCATTAACTCAAGAACATGCAGCAGATTACAGAAAGTACAGACCCAGTACAGACAACCTCGTGTATGGTGTGATGACGTCCTTTCAAATTGCATGTGGAGGGCTGTCACTTAATATAGAGACTGATAGATACAACATGCATACACACGCAAACACATGCACTCACACACGCATGCATATTACACACCCGATAAACACCTGCACACTTACACAAGCACACAGACATGTACATTACACACCCGATAAACACGTGCACACCCACACAAGCACACACACATGCACATTACACACCCGATAAACACGTGCACAGGCACACAAGCACACACGCATGCATATTACACACCCGATAAACACGTGCACAGTCACACAAGCACACACGCATGTACATTACACACCCGATAAACACGTGCACACTCACACAAGCACACACGCATGCACATTATACACCCGATAAACACGTGCACGCTCACACAAGTACACACGCATGCACATTACACACTCAGGCACTATACTCACAGACGTGGCTGACGTGTTTCACGTATATGCAAGACGTTATCAACAACAGTAACAATAAAGAATTGAACTGTACAAGTCAAATCTGGCTGCCTTGATACAACTGTGTCAACAGCTTCTAAACTGTCACTTAAAACACCACAGTGGCCGTCAACAGAGGTTTGTTATCGATTATCGGGTTTTGCTGATCGTCTGAACAATACATGCCAAACCATGCGAAAACAAGCTTCATAAATCAGTAATCTGCAGAGACTGACAAAATATTGCTTTAGGTTTAACCATTATTTTTGTCTTTGCCATTCAACAACATTCAACTGTTGCTTGCAAATAATCGACTCTTCGAAACAGACAACCAACGAACAACGATCCATGTCTTTCCTGACCACCCGATCCAAACAAACAAGCAAACAAACAAATTGGTATTGTGCACAGAAATCAATCAATGGCACGACAAAGGGTTACAACCCATCCTTGAGCCGTAAAGCACTCGGAAACCAGATCTCTTATAGCTACCCCATACAGCCACTCACAGTCGAAAGTGATAATTCTTCTTTGGGACATGTTTAAAAAATTGTTTCAATTATATTTATGTTTATTTCAGGCGACGGATCACAGATTTAACCCCGCTCAAGATGGCTTTGAAATCAACACGTCGACGGCAGTTGTACATTTCAGTGTTAATGACATGTATGTCAGTCACTCTGTGCGTGTTGTATCTGCGGGAAAACAGCGTGCAGGGACAAGCACCTGTCCAAGCAGTCCACGTGATATCGCCAACGGGACAAATTACGTCACTTCCTGAACAAAATCAGATCATTTTGTTGTGCCGAACATCGTTCATTTTGTGTGGTTTGGAGGAGACCTTGAAGTTTCATTTCATCATCTTTTAAGCATCAAATCAGCTTACAGCATCTTAAAACCCGATCGGATTTTTATTCACTGCGATCACAAGCCAGTTGGAAAATGGTGGAAAGTTATAAAACAAAGTATTCCAAATCTGAGGATAGTCGACAGAAAAGCCCCAGCGGAAATCTATGGAATGTATGGTGGTCCGTTCAGAACATAAATCCGACGTTGCTCGGATACAGATTCTGCAGAATATGGCGGAATTTATATATGGATACTGACGTCATTGCTTTGAAATCGTTTAATCCTCTAAGACATTATGAGATTACAATGAATGGGTATAAGTATCACGGTCGCCCTGGGAGATTAAACAACGGGATTATAATCTCTGCTCCAAATGCAACCTTCCTTTCATTATGGTTGAATACCTACAAGAACTTCACACAAAACGAGTGGGATTATCACGATTCTATAATCCCGTACTATTTACAGTTTACTTATCCGCATTTAATCCACGTGGAGGAAAAGACTCTGAACTACCCAGTGGGTTGGATATAAACCTGATATATAAGGACGTCTATGATTGGTCGAGAAATTACGCCATGCATCTGTGGTACAGACTCTATGATACTGAACACGGGCCGACTGGAATCAGAACAATGAATACGACATTTGGTCGAATAGCAAGATATATCTATTATGGTACTAGGGATATATTGAAATGAATCTTGTCTGTAAATGGGGAATCACACCTACTCATGTCACACGACGGAATGCGATGTCGCGGGCGATGGTCCCGCCGTCCTCGGTGCTGCAACTCACTGTGTACGGCGGCATCCTCTGGGACTGCCGGAAACCTAACGGCGTGTCCTAGTGTCACCTTGAATATGTTTCTAGGGTTGTCAGCATCATACCAACGCTCACACAGATGATCGATTGATGACGTAACTTGGTAATTGGTGTTAAACACACACCCCAACACTCGCATGGAACATAGTCCTATTTTGTTGTATTTATTGATTTCACAGCGGTAGTCTTGTTTGGCGCCTTCATAATTACTTGTCACAACAGTCAGTCCGTCGACGACTTAATGATCATGACCAAATGTACATGTGTGTTTTCTGGCTATAAATACGTACTTATGTTTTCGCAAATTGATTTGTTCTGTTGCAACAACGTGAGTATAATACATGTATAGGTTGTTTGGTGTGGTTTTACATGTCTAAAGTCGCCTCGATATCGGCGAAAGTTAAAGGATTCGGTCATGCTTCACTGTACCTGTTCCTGGATATTGGGTTGACAACATTGTAAGGATGTCGTAACAGTTGACCTTCCATATTTGCATATGTATCCGCATGGGGCCTGGCATAGATGCAGTGTTTATTGGTTGCCTTTTTCGTGAGGAGACGATATTTTCTCATAAAAAACGGTATCACGTAAGGATAAAGATGCAGATTTGAAATGCGAGCTGGTAGTACGCTCAACGTTTACAAACATGGCGTCCCCATTGCCAATAGGCGTTGGGAACACGCAGAAGCCACTGGGATAAATGGTGTCATTATCAAAACGATAGACAAAGATACTGAACATCATTGTCTCACTGGAACGTAGCTGAGGCGTTTTACAGGTTTGGGCAACCTAGGATATATAAATTTTGAAACAGTTTTAGCGAGGACATCAGCCAGATAGGGTTCTGTGACCAAAGCCAATCTAGAACAGTTGGATTTGCAGAAATATGTTCGAATTGTTATATTGTTTTACTTTGTCTGTGTGTACATGTAACTCTGCACCCCATCACGTTTTGTCAAGATGATCACTGGCCACGTAGCCTCAGACTAGTCTTAGAGTAGCGTCCCTTTGATAAAGGGAAGCTACTCTTTGAGGACAGGCTCGATGGATTACAAACCGAGAAGCAAACATAAACAGCCGTTATTTGCTAACCAGCAGCTTCGTATACATCACTGTCTAGAACGAGGTTTCAGTTGGAATATCCAGGGTGAAAGGGTTATTTTAAATTTTTTTTCAATAATTTGATGTGTCGTATGGTTGTCTCGAAGTAAAAACTTCTTATTCTTTCTTTTTTCATTATGTTTTGGTTGTGTCGAAGTGACTCTCTTTCTCAGCTTCCCTTCCCCAAAGCTGACTATGAACTGCTAGAGAGTTAACAGAAACCTTACAGAAATCTTACCTCACCGGGTACCCATTCACTGCTGGTTAAACATAGGCTTATTTCGGACAAAGTCATTGGTCGGGGAGACACCACATGTGCTTCATGGTCTTTGGTGTGCGTCAGGAAGGACGACCCAGGGTCAGGCTGCTGAAACAATGTCCGTCCAAGTTCTCTCCACAACTTACTACTAAAAGCGAGCTTATTAGCCCGATTTGTGCCCTGTATTGATGCTCATGATGTCAGTCACTGGCTTGTCTGTTCCAGACTCAATTACTTGATACAATATGACTGGAATATTCCTGAAACAACAAACAAACAAACAATTCCTGTGTGATGGGCATAGAACATATACCACCATTTGGGACATTTCGTTACTGTTGTTATATGCTCATACTCATGCCAATAATGGTTGTCGCTCCCCCTCCCCCTCCCTTCCCTCTCCCAATTAAAAATTGAAGGGGTGACAACGATTATTGGCATGAGTATATTATGCCTAGATCTAGATACCCCACACCCTATGTCCGGCCTGCATGTGAAATCGTGTGGTGCTACACCACCATGGCAATGTATGGCTATGGTTGTGAGTGGAGAGTGAGTGATTGAGTGAGGTTAGTTTTACGCCGCTTTTAGCTATATTCCAGCAATATCAGGATGGGGGACACCAGACATGGACTTCACACATTGTACCCATGTGGGGAATCGAACCTGGGTCTCCACGCCTTAACCATTAGGCTACCCCGCCGCCACATGGGCAATGAGAATTAAGGTTGTAACTCCACGAGAGATTTTACCGCCGCTTTGAACAACAATCGTACCCTCGTAACCAAAGGGATTGTGATACCCTCTATCAAGGCCGCAATCGTCCACGACAAGTTGTGACGCCTTGTTCGGTTGGTCCTTGTTCGACTGGACCTTGTTCGACAGGACCTTGTTCGATTGGACCTTGTTCGACTGGACCTTGTTCGACTAAACCTTGTTCGAGTGGACCTTGTTCGATTGGTCCTTGTTCGACTGGACCTTGTTCGATTGGACCTTGTTCGACTGGACCTTGTTCGACTAAACCTTGTTCGAGTGGACCTTGTTCGACTGGACCTTGTTCGACTAGACCTTGTTCGACTAAACCTTGTTCGAGTGGACCTTGTTCGAGTGGACCTTGTTCGAGTGAACCTTGTTCGACTAGACCTTGTTTGATTGGACCTTGTTCGACTAGACCTTGTTTGATTGGACCTTGTTCGACTAGACCTTGTTCGACTAGACCTTGTTCGACTGGACCTTGTTCGATTGGACCTTGTTCGAGTGGACCTTGTTCAAGTGGACCTTGTTCGATTGGACCTTGTTTGATTGGACTTGGGGGAGGGCGTGAGAGTCAACACCCACTCAAAATTTTGGGCTCTCGCATTGTTGCGGGTGTATTTTTATAACTTTATTTATGCCTCCGCAACACTAATAAATCATGATTTATGCACAGTACATTAACTCGGTCATGGCAAATCTTGACTCATTTTAACGCCTCGTTTTAACGTATTTTATAGACTGACACGTGTTTAAAGGGAACAATTCCTATAACACGACCATCTTTCTTCACCTAGTTGAACCAAATGCCTGACTGTCGAAATGCGTACGATTTGCGGTTATAACGCCCTAAACCAAATGACCCCTTTTAAGCTCGTTATAACCGTAGTTTAGGATATAGTTATGGGACTGTAAAACTGTAAAACTAATCCGACAACAGGACTGAAGCAATATATGAGAGCCCCTTTAAGGGCACACGTAGGCGATATGAAAACATGCACTGTTTATGACACAACCAGCGTCAATTGTGTTGTCGAGGTAGGATTATGAGATCTCTCCTTAAGCATTGTGATCGTGGAATGTAATTTTAGACTGAATGCATGAAGGCAAAGGACTGTGCTGCCGCTAACATTGAAACAGAGGTAATATTTAGTATTTGTTTACAATGATTTGTTTCGAGTTATCAAAAGTTGGTACCGTTGTTTAAGTGTAATTGTTGTCTGCCACAAGTTATGCTGACGTTTGACGGTCGACTCAAATGGAATAGGCTCACTTCCTGGTTGAACTGAGCTGTAGCATTACAAACGGCGACTTGAAACACACAACAGGTATGTAAATGTAATCTAAATTTCGGATACAGAAATAATAATCATATCTTCTATTCAACTTTTTTGTGTAAAAAGTAAAGTTTAGAAGCATCAATTCCTTGTATTTGGTCGTGGACTGGGGGCCGTGCACGTTGGTAGGTTAGAAGTTAAAGCGTTTGTTCGTCTCACCCACGTGTATACAACTCGTTAAAGTCAATTTCTGGCAATATTGCTTTGCTGGACTGCAGCATGTTTACTTAGATTTTTTATTTGTATTAAAATTTTGTGAACGTTAGATGACACACACATGGTCTACAATTCAACGAAGGACAGGCTTGAGTCACATGTCTACAATTAAATCCTGTGATAGAATTACGTTTTACCTTAGATATTTGAATCTTGCACACAGAATGAGAGCAATCGCTTCCTGGAACTCGGCCTATACCAATGATCAAGGATAGAATTATTGAGTTATTCGTCATTTCACCTTTAACTTTAAAGCCTTCTGGTCGTCTTGGTAGGGCGCCCGGTTCCAAATTAAAACAAGATGTATCGAATCTTTAGTGAAGAATCAAAAATTCATTAATCAAAGATTATTATAGAAAAACAGACCCAAAACATTTTCTCTCCAGGTACACTAGAGAACTGAGTGTTACATATAGTGAAATCTGCATTCGTAAATCAAGTAGAATGCGGTTGTTGTCCTATGTGAGAGGACTGTACGACATCAATGTAACTGTATTTCATTGCCTAGACAGATATTCTTTAAAGTATCGTTTAACTTGATAAAACGGTTTATGATAACTAGCTATTTTATTTTTTCAACATTGAAAACAACTAAGTAAAAATGGTGGTTCTAACAAGAAACTTATTGTAACAATTTGCTGAAATTGGAACCAATTTAATTATTTTTGTTGCAGTTGAAATCTGCGTGAACATGTGGAAACAAGGATGCCTCTATGCATTGACCCTCACCTGGATAGGTTGTGTTCACAAAAGTGAGTTTGTATTGATTGTTGGATTATCAGATTTATATATTATCGATCGGTTTTTTACTTGTACAAAACTATTTTCAGTTGGAATTTTATGGAAGCGTGATTGTGTTAAAAACGCTTGGCAGTCATGCTAACCCTACAGTTTTGATTTCCCATGTGGTTACGAGGGTTCACTTACTCACTCACTCCACTCACTCACTGCAGGTGTTGCTGCAGTTGTCTCCCCGTGTTCGGGAGGGGTGGCGCTGCTTGGTACAGACTACACTATTCAGGCCGACAGGAGCCGCTACACTGGCCCTGTGTGGGTTCGACCTGATGGCCGATATGTCGTCACATGCTTCCCAGGCTGCAGCTCTGTGGAAGGATACAGGGCAGTCGTGAATGTTACACACACTACACTGACTATAGAGAGTGTGGGGATGGCAGATGCTGGGACTTGGAGCATCTTGGATCTAGCAACAGTTGGTGATGTTCCCGTCCAAGTTTGTCAGCTGACGATTATGAGTAAGTATGTCTTATCCTTCAAACTTGGTTTCAATACAATGATGCATCACTGATGTCGGAACGGGCCGTACTTGCACAGAACAGTCTCAGTTAAATCATTTAGTCCCTTACAATCAACGTTACAATCAGGATTTTATATAAAAAGCAATATACACATTAGGCCACACTTTTTTATCACAGTGTTTACGGATCCACCGACCGTTAAATTTGCTAAAGTGGACTTTTGTTTCTCCATTGTTCCATTCTTTAAATGCCGCCGATATATAAAATCCAAATGAATAATTGAAAAATCGGCTTTATTGAAGTCGACTTTTTGTTAGTAAGTTAGCATTGTTGCAAAACAAACTTTTTACCATTGAAACAAATAAACCCTCTGATAGTAGGAAGTGGAAACACCTGAATGGCTGATAGCATATTCTATATTTTGTAAACAACCTACATATGGTGAAAGACACTTAGGGAAAAAAACTGACAGAGCATTTTTTTAATACCTACTGAAAAGAATATTACTGCAAAAAATCCGTAAACCAAGTAATATAAAAATGTGGCCTTAAATGGATATATATTGAGGAAATAAACTCACGGGCAAAAGAAACGTCACCAAAATTATGTTTAAGTTTTTTAACGAACCTTTGTATTTTTTTCAATAAAAAACGGGTTGAAAAAAACTAGCCCAAACGCAAACAACATACACTACTCATTGAATTGCACGAGATTCATGTAATTTGTGTAAAAAGGTTAAATTTGCACGGAATTTTGCGAAATCCCTTCGTAAAAAGCCGTATAGAATTCAGGTATAAAATGTGTAGAGAAATGATGTACTGTATTCCATTATCACATCGTATGGTAGAAAGGAAACATGCCGAGGCTAACAGCACAGCAGAGAGAACGAGCTATTTGTATGCTGAATTTGGGAGCGACGCAGTCTCATGTTGCAAGGTTGATGAATTGTTCACAGCGAACAATCCTGAGATTGGTGAGCCGTTACAGATGAAGACTGATCTTATTGTGATTCATGGTAATCGTACAGCTGCATGGTACGTCAATAAAGTTTAAAGACCAGTCGTCCTGCCATTTATCCAGAATCACCCACGTACCAAGTTCCAACAAGACAACGCCACACCTCACAAGGCACGCGGCAGTAGGGACTTCCTTAATGCCCAGAATGTGACGTTACTTCCTTGGCCAGCTCGATCTCCCGACTTGACCCCGATTGAGCACCTGTGGGACCACCTTGGACGACAAATCAACAAGCGACAGCCACCCATACAGACAAGAAGGAGGCCCTACAGGAAGAATAGCGGAGAATCCAGATACATGTGATCATCAGACGACTAACATTATCCGCTAGACGTAATGTCCATGCTTGCATACAAGCCAGGGGTGACCACACGATATTGACTGTATTAAACTGGTGTCTCTTCGGTTTAGAGCCGCTTATGATGAAACAGATGGTTAATTTCGAATACCGGACGGTCAACTGTCCTCGATTCATTGTACACTAATATGGTCATTCAATTTCTGTAGTTCACACTTTAATCATTCAGAATGTTGTAAAACCATTAATTTTCCAAATATGACTGTCACATTTCCAAATTCTGAGCTTGTTTTTGTGACATGTTAAAGAAAGCGAGGTGACGTTTCTTTCGCCCGTGAGTTTATGATGAGGAGCCAGTATGTATAGTTTGATCAGAAATGGTGTCTTGAACTGGTCTCTATAAAACAGCTCATATCATGAAATTATACTCATGGCACACATATCATACTTCTTCTCTGGCAGACGCTTACTTGGTTGACACATGTCATCGGTTCAATTACGCAGATCGATGCTCATGCTGTTGATCACTGGATTGTCTGGTCCAGACTCGATTATTTACAGACCGCCGCCATATAGCTGGAATATTGCCGAGTGCGGCGTAAAACTAAACTCACTCACTCACTCTTCCCACACCTCCTGAGTGCAACATCAGCAGTGATACAGACCAGCAACTCTCCAGCCCAATACAACCCTCACACTGACAGTAGACATCAGAGGTATTACTGTTCAAAAGCTGGCTTCTATCTCACTACTGGTAACGTAAAGGGGCTGTTGATGATGAAGCACGTTACTGGCGTCAGCGATGTTGTAACTTCAGGCACCTTCAGTGTTACACCATCCCGACTCGGTGACGTCACAGAGTCAAAGCTTTACGTGTGACGTCACAAGCTGGGATCTGATCTGTGGCATAGTGTTAGGAACCTTTCAATGGGTAGAGATGGATGGGTGAAGTTTGCATTATCAATAATCAAATGTATTCAGTATTCTGGAATCTGTTATTTCAGTTATTTGTTTTACATGTTTCGAAATCCCCGATTAATATATCGTCACTGCGATTATTTTCTCGCAATTTCAGGACAAATTACATCTAAAGAAATTAATGAAACAAGTTTGTATTGCTTCATCAGGAAGTGTGTTATGAATTGGTCGCTATTGAAAAACCTCATAATAATTATACACATCATCCTCAATGAACACTCTGATTTGTGTTGAGCTCACCGCACTTGCCTTTCTCAAAACGTTTCTATGCGGTGTCTATGAAGTCCTCACACAAACGTCTAAAACAGGTCTCGTTTCCATAAATAATGTTTGCGAACATTCTACCATCGTACTACATCAACATGTGCCCCACAGAACTCCCCGCTGCAACATCGGCATTGATACAGATTCCAGCAACTCTCCAGCCCAATACAAACCTCACACTGACAGTAGACATCAGAGGGTATTACTGTTCACAAGAAGCTGGCTTTACCTCACAACTGGCAACGTAACGGAGATGTTGATGATGAAGCAGAACGTTACTGGCGTCACCGATGTTGTCACTTCACCAGCACCTTCAGTGTGACACCATCCCGACTCGGTGACGTCACAGTCAGCTTTACTTGTGACGTCAAAAGCTGGGATCTGAACTGTGATGGTGTGAACAGCCTGGGTGAGTTGGAGTGTCTATTGATCAGTTGTTGATGAACATTTAAAGTGCCTTCATTTAGTTTGCATAATGGATAACCCGCACCATCATAGATAGATGTGACGCCACCATCTCAAAGGTCCCCATGTTCGCACAGCTCAACTCGCCTGATTTGTGAAATTTGAGTGTTTTGTCTGTCCGTATGTCTGTCTGTTTGTCTCTCTCTTCACACACACACACACACACACACACACACACACACACACACACAACACACACACACACAACAACACACACACAAAACAAAACAAAACAAAACAAAACAAACAAACAAACAAACAAACACACAAACACAAACACACGAGGCATATTGCATTTGAGAATCCAGCCCGCTTTTGTAACGAAGCAGACGTATTTTTCGCAAATGGTACAATGTAAATGAAATAAACTTCACCAACTTCCTTCAAGCATTTTCTGCACAGACTTCATTATTTCATATTCATTATAGTTTTCTTGTTGAGTTTTAGTTAGTGTAATTTGTAGATTAATTGATAATGCAAAGAGTTTCTCCTACAGCCCCAGTCGTCCCTGTGAACCCAACTGACTTCTACTGTACAAGTCACACAGACTCAAGTCTCGACCTTCAGTGGGTACACCCAGGAAACACACTATACAGCCTTGTGTTTGTTCTCGACTATCGCCTCGTGGACGACAAGGATGACGTTGATGACAGAAACATCATGATACCGGCTGACAAATCTGAAACAATACATACCACTACACTCAAAGAGCTTCAGCCAGGCAGTCTGTACTACTTCCGGTTGGTTGTTGATGGGGGGTCTCTGGGCCAAAGCGAGGCTGTCACTACCACGTGCTTCACGAGATGTTCAGAAGGTAGGTATGAAGTAATATACATATTGCAATAGGCTAACGACACTTTTGATATCTTTATCCGACCCTTTGGTAAACACAGTTGCTGCCAATACAAGGGCAATGATTATGGTTTGAAATCTTAACTTGTGGTAGGCAATGCATCCTAAGGGGATCTTCACGTTGACCAAGTACCAAGCTTAGAGCAACAATACTAATCTGGTGAAGGCATTACTGGATCAGACCCGTGAAGATCCGGAGTTAGAACTGATCTTCAGTAACCCCTGCTTGTCATAAGAGGCGGAATTGGATGGCCAGGCACGCTGACTTGGTTGACAAATGTCGTCGTATCCCCAGTGCGTAGATTGATGTTCATGCTGTTGATCACTGGATTGTCTGGTCCAGACTCGATTGTTTACAGACCGCCGCCATATAGCTGGAATATTGCTGAATGCGGCGTAAAACTGAACTCACTCACTCATTACAGTATCAGAATCGTCGGGTACGTCAGTGGGTGCTGGAGTTGCCATCGGCATTGCAATCACGCTTGCTGCTGCTCTGGCTGTGTGCCTGGGTGTTGCCTATGTCTTCAGAAGGAAAGTATCAGCCATTTGTTCAGGTAAGACGTCAGTGTGTATACAAAAAAACTGAAGGTGTAACAGAGATAGATGAATGCTACGACCCTAGGTTGTATTTTTAGACTATTTGAATGATTACGTTGGGTTTTACGCAGCTTTTAGCTATATCCCAGTAATATCACGGCGGGGGACACCAGAAATGGACTTTACATATAGTACCCATGTGGGAATCAAACCTGGGTCTTCAGCGTGACGAGCGGACAATTTAGAGCTACCGACATAATGACTATGTGAAATGTTAATGGTTTATGCATAAGGTCACAACTCCGCTTTTAAAAATCTGATTCTGATGTCTTGAAAATGTAATGTTAATCCCTTTGCGTACAATAACTATAAGGTGAATATACGACCTAACACTTGGTTGTAAAACGTCTACTTACAATTTAATTATTGATTATATCCTTATAATAACAGCTTTCCAATTTTGTCAAATTTTGTATATATAAATTTTGTACATAAAACGCAGCTTGATCGTTTTAATATTTTTTGTTTCAGGAAAGACAGTGTTGATAAAGACAGGTGGGTTTCATTGCACACCCTGGGGTCATTGGAGGTTCCATGTATTCCATGCTTGTCACAGGACCTTATTTTAAAGGAGTGGTCAGGTTCGGTTACTAAGTCGTCATGGCTAAAATTGTTTTGGATCATTCCTAATACTGGTTCCCCAAATGGAAATGTAGCACTTTGATTTGATTTCTCTTAACTAGTAACGTCTTAATAGAATAAGAGTACTTTACCTGCAAATGCTACATCTAGTTATTCCTATCAAACGTAGATTGGTTTATATGGTTTGCTGCCAGCGACTTAAATAACTCTCTGTATCAAACATCACATCCCTGTTTCAGGACAAACAATGGCGGTTCTCAGCCAACTTTTGGCATCTCAAAGAAAGGACTAGTTCTGTCAACAACCAAACTGAAGGTATATTTTCTGTGATGTGTTCCAGCACAGTTGGGGCGATGGGGGTGGCGTAGTGGTTTTAAGTGTTCGCTCGTCACGCCGAAGACCGGAGTTCGATTCCCTACATGGGTACAATGTAAAGCTCATTTCTAGTGTCCTCGCTGTGATATTGCTGACTATTGCTAAAAGCGGCGTTAAACCAAATTCACTCCTCACTCCAGGACAGTCAGGGCAATGATGTAGCAATGTTGAAAATGTTGACTCGACATTCCCAGGACTCCGGTTTTTAATGTAGGTACCACCTTGCATATAATGGATACAATTTATAATGTATAAAACATTCCATAGTATATAATAGATATAGTACATATCGTGGATCAAAACCAGGAATGTAATGTCCTCTTACGGGAAGTCAACGATCGCTTCCTCACAAGACATCTTGGTAACTGCACCTCATGGCATTTGTATGCGACCAGTTTAACCCTGCACGGTGGTTGATACTAAAGGGAGATAAATCCTGGACACACAATCAAGATCTCGCACAACAAATCAGAGGCGAAAAGCCATTCGTCGCCGCTTGCCCCAATTCAATAACGCCCAGAAGACTCGTCCCTACACTCGTGTTATTCGGAACAAGCCGAATAGCGACTCATGCATCTCTGGGATTTTTATTAATCCCAACAATAATAAGCATTGCTGATGCACTCGAAAATGTCTGCTTAGTAAAGATTTTAGCCCGAACAACAATAATATTGATGATATGAATTTGTATGTTATTACTGAACACGATTGAAGAATCTAAAGTCCAATAGGGTTTTCCTGAATAGGCAGATTGAAGATAATTTTATTTTTTAGTCTCAAACTTGACGTAAAAATGGCTGTAAATACATCTCAAACTGAATAGTTCATTGGAGAGTCTTATAATGATTTAGTGTAAGCGGTGTCATCCAGTTGTCTGGACTGGCAACTAGACCTAGCACCCACCTGAGGTGAATTTCTCTGACCCTGCAACAGCAAATGTAGAAGGAAACTAAAACGTCCAACTGAAAATATCCCCAGTGAAGTGAAAATGTTTGAGCGATGTTTAGAATTAAAGTAGATTGTTTATATTGAAATACATCGTTTTGAAACTTGTGGCTGAGTAATAATTACATATCTCTAAAATGTGTTGGCAGCTTACGTAGAATATCAAAAGAGCAAGCCCTAAGATCATCAGAAAATATTCACTCCGGAAGCACAAAGGCCCGTTATGTAGGCTGATCATTAATGGGGTTGAAGTTGTATTCCACATTATCACCACGGATCAAATAGATTAAATATAAACCCTTAAATAAGCATGAAGAAGATAGACGATAGATACGAAACCAATACAGAACCCAGGTGACGAACAATAGTGACAAACTTTATGGATAACAGCAGTATATATGAGACTGAGTGCACGAATTCACTCTGATATATTCCTCGCCAATATTAAAGAAAAGGCCTTCACCAACTAGCACCTGGTGAAAAGTTGACTACCTCCGATACCAGATCAGCAACATTGTGCAGAAGGCCCAATCTCAGAAACACAATATCACCACAGCTGAAACACAAGCCATCAAGCAGGTGAGACAAGACCCTGACATCATCACCCCAGCTGACAACGGCAGAGTCACTGTTGTCCTAGACAAGCACCACTTCTACACCATGGTAGACAACCAGCTGGACGCAACCACTATATACAAGAGAGGATCAGCAAGGATCCCACTGCTAAACTGGATCGCCAGCACAAAACCATAATAAAAACCTGCGTGACAAATATGAACTCTCCATAGGATTTTGTATCGAAAACTATCTACATCCATCCTCAATACACCCTATGCCCGTGCTACAGTGAAGATCCACAAGAAACCTGCTTGAAAACCCGCCTACTGGTATGTTCCCGTGACACTGTATTCTACAACACAGCTCAACATCTCTTACAAAGTACTCTATCCTTTAGGCAAATCTGCTTACTCGTTCATCAAGGACTCTGCAGATTTCTGCAACAAAATCCGTGATAAAACTAAACCAGGCCCCATTGTCAGTTACGATGTAGCAGACCTCTTCACCTTAGTGTACCAGAGAAGAAGCCCTGTTAGCACTACGCCACCAGATCGACAACCCCTCAATAACACCAGCCTCTCGAACGGCTCTATCCATCAACCTCACCGCTGCCTGCATCAACTCCCACCTACTTTACCTGGGTGATGACTTCTATCTGAACAGATTCACGGACTCCCCATGGGCTCATCTCTATCCCAATTCTAGCAAATTTACATCCACAGGCTAGAAGAAAGCACTACAAACTTCCACCTGTCAAACCAACCTGCTGGTACCAAGAAAGTGGATGGTACTTTCGTCATTCCTCCAACCTGATCATGATCCCGACCAACTTCTCACCCATCTAAACAACATCCCTTCATCAAATTTACCCTTCCTTGGCGTCCTTGTATCCCGCACATCCTTCAACCATCTCCAGACCACTGTGTACAGAAAACCCACCTATACGGATCAATACATCCACTACAACTTCAATCATCCTCCCAATGTTAAGACCGGCATCATATCTACTCACAACTAGAAGGCGAAGAATATCTGCTTAACAAACCTGCACAGAAAAGAATTCAACATCTGAAGAGAGCCTTCGTAGAATTAAGCAACTACACGGCCCAAATAGTCCACAGAACCATTGCTGCTACCCTGTCACCTCCGCCGATGGACCCACGCCCGATTCAGCGCCCGTCAAGGATCTCTGCAGTCTCCCACATCTGGTGAAGCCATCACACCAATCAGCCGACTCCTAAAGAGCAACAAGCGGGCATCGATGCCATCTTTTCGTCATCCTTCAGCCTCAACAACCTGCTCCGTACTAACGGAGAGAGAAAAGATCCAACTTTCGACAACAAAAACCCGAATGTGTGATTTACAAAATAAACTGTGATTGTGGACAGAAGTTACATAGGCGGAAACCAGCTTCTACAAAACCACCACTCAAAGAAGTTATCAGAGTGACAGAGTACAAGTATCAACATGACTCTCAAAGAGTCGAGTCACAACATCGACGTGAACAAGAATCAGCATCACCCTAAGTTAGAACAGCACAATTACTGGAAGAGTCAAGCCCGGCACAGCAGCGTGAGCCTTCAAACGGACATGTTATATAGAAATAGAATTTGTTCTTGCGCTGGTCAATCAAGGGCAGTAGTGGAATGGTTCAAAGACAATGACAAACAGTCCAAGACATCCCTGAGCGACGATGGACATATGCAACAAGACATGGCACACATACGTATTCTTTCATATCGAACAATATCACTACATCTAA